ATAATTATGATCGTATTTCGAGAGTACTCGTCTTATTAAAGTAACGTTCATCGAACTCGGATAAAACGATATCAAACTAACTATTATCGTCGATGCGAGAAACGTCGAAATTCATTAAAATGTTCATTTTATCGCGGAATTATTATTACCAACACCAATAGGCCCGATTCGTCATCTTCGAATTGACACTCGTTGACCCTGCTGCGGTTCGCAGCAATAAACTCACCGATCGGTTTAAATCGTACTTTTATTCGAATAGAGAGGCGAAAAATATGGCCACCTGCACGTACGAGAATAGGATATCATTCGTTAGTCAATAGATTATCGTTTTTATTTAATAGGACCGAAGGAGGTTCGATGTCACGAAGATCTCGCGGAGAATTGCCATGCAAGGGATACAAACGGCTCGTTAAATATGTAAATGTAAACGCATTCGCAAATAGAATAGAACGTGCCTTCAACGATCTACGACGTCCACGATATAAAACGACCACCGTCGTATTCTTTTCCTAACGCAGGAAAAGAATTTTCCAGGTAAATTACCCGCGGCCGATCTTAACGATATCTTGTACGATAGAACGATAAGATTATTCGTAGAAAGAAAATCGCACAGGTGCCAACGCAGCTCCACCGCATCGGGGAGCTGATAACTTCCGCATTCAGATTAAGGTTGAATCGCGTGAACGACGCGCGAACGCCACTCTCTGACTTTCTGCTAAATCTAAGCGATCATCGCAAACGAGATGCTTCTCTCGTTGAGAGGCGATAATCCGTCAAAAAGAAAAAAAAAGAAAAAAAAGGAAACTATCCATTTCGATTTCATATTGTTCTCCATTAAAAGACAAATTACGACGTAAGGCTTTATATGGTAATTAAATTAGATGAACATTAATAGATTTTCCTTAATCTAATCCCTAATGGTATCGAGAATGTTATGCATGCGGTTATGCAAAAACAATTATGTTACTTTCAAAAGTAATTCGATTATTTTACATATCCCAAAATATGTACGTGTGACCGACGAACTGCTGCTATTTCCTAGAACGTATTCTTCTTTTCCTTCTCTTTACTCGATTCCTATTCGTTTAATCGGTTCGCGTTACATCAGCGACTGTATCGTTTACTATATGCTACCGCATTAGTATTATATCGCATTCATTCACGTTATTACCACGGGAGAAGTGGTAACTAGAATGCTGCAGGTACTACATACATACGCAAAGACTTTGAACTTAGGCGGTATAGTATAAGTTCCTTTGGCGATCCTACGTTGGAACGGTGGAACATACAAAGTATCGCGTTTCATTAGACGATCCTGATAAAACTCTATATAAACATTTTCTACCTTATGTATGATCTCGGAATAATTGAAATTAACTCTCTGGTAACGATACCGAGAACATCTTTATCAGGCACGATATTAACGATCGTGTAAAAGCTATCGGTAGGTGTTTAAACGAGTTTCAAGGAATTATTCGTTATACGTTATACTTTAAATCTTTATGATTTAAAGTCTAAACCGGCAGAATCGGGGACGGAACAGGTATGTTGCTCGGGTATGTATACCTAATGGAATTGGATCGATCTGACAAAGAATCACATGCCACACCTATCGATCCTGCAGCCATCTAAATGCGAGCTATTTCGTCGATCCGACGACCTACGTGTTGCTTTATCCTTTCCATGACTTTGGCTAAAAGGAGATGGGCATGATGTCAGTATATTGTGTTACATCATCGATCGTAAATCCGGCATGTGACATGCATGCTCCTTACAAACGATGCTTATTTTTACGCTTCGTGATTAAAATCCAATCGATATCACCTTTTATCGAAATTACATATATCGATCCAATTATTAAAAGTAATTGACCTCCCGAAAAATATATTTTATATCGCTTTTATTATAAAAAATGTTTTATCACTTTCCTCAAAGAGATATCCAACGTATATAAAAGTGATCTAAAGTACAAATAAACAATTTACTCAATAAAACCTTCATGCTAGAAGATTACAGGAATTCTTTTCTCGAGTTACGGAAAGCATTATGGAAAAGCACGAGAAATTCAAAGACAAGTAATATCATTTCTTAGCTTCCCTTACGTAATATTTCGTCGTTTGAATATTACCTTTTGCGATATGTTATTAATTATACTCGTTAGTCGTTATAAAGTATAAATATTACAAGTAACGTAGGAATAGTATCGGAATCAAACTCTTTCCAAACACTTACGACAATTATTTCAATGATAATTCTAGAAAACGTTAAACGATAAATCATATTCGTAAATCTGTCCGAATAAATGATAGGTAAAACGATAGGTAACTTAAAATAATGTATAAAAATAATTTTACATCAACGATAAATCTTACGTTTCTTTCCATGTCCCTTATTACGTGTGAATTATCGTTTGTGTAACGCTCGTACATTGACCGTTCTCCTTGACATATGCATTTCACGTGTCACGAGAACAAAAGGTTTACAGATAAGATAAACCGGACTGTCGTTTAAAGTAAAACTTCCTCTCATTGCGAACGTAGAAAAATTTTAACGTAAACGGTAAAACGCCATCTTGAAAAATTCACTCAGCGAATCGGCGCGAAGAAAATAGCGTTTGAATTTTCTGAAAAAGAAATGGCGCTAGAATATGAAAATTTAGCGCGAGAACTTAGGTTATGCCGTTATCGGCAGAACTGAGAAGGCAAGAATAAGCGAGTTCTTGATAATATATTGGTAAACACAGCTAACAGACGTAACTTACTTATCCAACGTTCGACATATTCGAGTAGAGGACAAATCGAGTAACAAATACACAAGACGCTTTCTGTATTCCGTTGGTTAGATGAAAATCGTGTTTCTCATCTGTCGATGATGAATCGTCGTCGAGAAAGGCACTTTTATAGGAACTGGTGTGATCACGGCACGACGTCATTTATGGTCGCGTTATAAATTAATTCTAAGAAGAAATTAAAGAGTATGGAATAGAAGCAACGTACCTATATAGACGACTTCCATCTTGAGATGCAGACGAAAGTGGCCATCCACGGCCACTTGGTACGATCGACGACGTGTAACGGGCCTATCCGGTGTCAGCGTCGATCGAAACGTTACCACGACGAAAATCGATTTCTTCGTAGTAGCGAGTATAAGTGTGAGAAAAGAGTTGCTCGAAGATCGTCCTGAAAAGGCGAACAAAAATCGAAAGTCGGTTGACGCGCGACAAGTACTCAGACGACACTTGTTGATTCCGCACTGTCAAGTACACGCGGGGATACGACGATCGTCTACGGTGCACACGTCCGTCTAGATATAATACGCGCGCGGTAACACTGCATCCGCACACGCCGCTCTTGTGTTCGGACTTGCGCACGCGTGCACAACACACGCGCGATACACCGCACACGTGCGCACACGCACGATACACACGACTTTCTTTCCTCTCTCTCTCTCTCTCTCTCTCTCTCTCTCTCTCTCTCTCTCTCTCTCTCCCTCTTCTCCTCTTTCTTGCTTTGTCACTATCGTCGTCCTTTCTTCTCCGACCGCTATTCCTTCTCCCTCTTTGCGTTCCGCTTCCTCTTCTTCTTCTGCTCCCACTCCTCCTCCTCCTCCTCTCCTCCACCTCTTTGCTTTCTCCTTTTGCTCAGGACCAACGTCGTGGCCGAAATTCGTCAAACGCGACGCCTCTCGACATCGCGATACTTCCTTTCGATGGAAAGAACAACAATTTTCAAGAAACAAAGCACAAAAGTTTCAAAGAGACAGAAATAAGCTGTTTAAAAATCGTCGTAGAAGAAAACGTACGTCCTTGCCGTTTAGAAAAAGCAAAAAACGCGAATGAACGTCGTCAGGCTCGTACTAACAATAACACACGCCACGAGAGCCATCAGCGAACTGGCAACTACAGCAATAAGTAAGGCCCAACTTCCCCCTCCACTTTTGTCTCCTTCTCGCTTCTCCACGTACGCAATCATTTCTTTGCTTCACACGTAGTACCACTAGTTTACTAGAATGTGATTCGTTGCGAGCATTAATCTTCTTCTTTTCAACCAATAGCATTGGGCCTTTTCTCTCGATGCGATTGGTGGGACCAGTCGCGTCTTCGTAGCGGGAATGTGTAAACCTATCACAAAGCATTATCCAATTGTTAAAATAATACGAATTTTTATAAAACGATTAAGTAAATAATAAAATATTTACGAAAGAAATAACGCGCATGTAAAACAATCGATTTACGGGTCAGTCGATTTGCAAATGGAACTTCGATCGATACGACCTATGAATATAGATGTATATTAATATGTTTATCCTTACGATAATGTAGTTGATTTGCTATTAAAAAATTGAATCTCTAAATGTTCGATATGTCGAATTAGTAATTGCCAAGAGGCTTCGTGAAGTTCTATTGTATAGATTTTAAGGCCCCATGTGTCGCAAGTAACCAGGGATACAGAAATGCGACGGAGCGAAACCTAACCATATACAGGTAGACACAGGCCCAAATGGTGTTTACAATGGCATACATCTATATGAAAAAGGAAGACATGTGACATTTTATTACGTCATAGCACAATACAAATATTCTATTTTATCATGGAATAATATTTAAATATTCCTAATACATTTTAGATATAGATAAAAGTATAGGTTAACACACAAGTTGTCTATCATTAAAAAGTTATTTAATTAATTATATATTATATTATATTATATTATATTATATTATATTATATTATATTATATTATATTACTTTTAGATTTATTCGTTGAAAAAAGAAGATGTTTTTAGAAACTTTGACATTCACGTAGTTTAATATCATACTTAATCACGATCGTCTGGCACTATCAAACAATTATAAAAAAACAATTATCGATATTTATAAATATCGATAAAATATATGGAGAATATTTTTTATATTAATTTTCTTACGTTAATCTTTTATTAATTATGTTTGACACTAATGAAACGCACACATTCACGAAAAATTAAAAATTTATTATTTTATAATTTATAACTTTTTACTTTTATCGAGTTCAAAGGAATGTAATTGTGCGCATGCGTCAATTTCTCTAGATATCGAATGATCGACTGTAGTATACCATACAGTATCAAAGCACGTTTCGAGAATATAAGTTGAGGTTAGCTTTCGTATTTGTTAGAAAAATGTATCTAATGTATTATTTAAATGAAAATGGGGATCGTATATATACGTTAAAAGTAAGAACATATATTTTATAATAATATTCTATATTAACTAAATTATATTGTAGTAATAATTAGATCATTTAAACTTTCTGTATACATTTATTTTACAGAAACTTGATCCAAATGGAAAACCGACTATGTCTGCACATCCTGGTAACATTTAGAGTAATATTTTTTTTATAAATTTTTATTGTATCTACATAATTTCTTAAATTTCCAGCTAGGTTCTCTCCAGAAGACAAATACTCGAGAGAACGAATTACGTTAAAGAGAAGATATGGTTTACTTCTAACTCAGGCTGCGATGCCAATTTACTAATCCATTATTTCAAATTAAATAAGATAGATATATATTATTATATTATTAGAAATATGTTCATTATGCGTTTCATCCAGCTTTTGACACATATGGAATGAAAATTTTTTTTAAAGTTTATACCAATAGAAGCAAATATTGCACCGTGTCATTTACAATGTAATATATATCATTGTTTCATACAAATGTCTTTTATTAACGTTTGATATATAGTTTGATATTATATATAAAAAATAAACTTACTTTATCGTACAGCAATTTCAATCAAAAATATGGTAAAACTTTGCTAGAAAACTGTGCCGGTGAAAAAGTGTACATTAAATCAAAACAATTTCATGAGAAAATATAAATAACCGAAACAATATGTGTAATTAGATAATTGAAATAAATCAGAAATACTCGTTTTAGTATCTAATCATATTTGTTATAATATTATATATAAAACCTTCATATTTACAATATAATTCTATGCAATTGCACCAAGAATAATGTAAGGAGAGCTTTATATATTTTATTTGGTACTTTGACTATATATACAATAGTATATATATATATATATATATATATATATATATATATATGTATTAGAAAAGTATACTAACAAAACAATAAAAAAATAAAAATAAAAATTATATGGAGAGTATAAATAAATTGAATAACAAGAAATTTCAGACTTAACATTTTTTGCCAGTATCTTCAACTCAAGGATTATTCAATGATCATAAGAAAAATAAATAATTTTTTGTATAATATTTTGTAAAAAATCTATAAAAGAGAAGACACACTGCTTGTTAATTTACATTTTATGCACCTGTGTACCATGTACATATAATATTTTTTCCTTTTTTAAAACAGTCACATTGGTATAACAATTCTATGATACAATACTAAAATAATATAATTACAATATTTCTTTTTCTATTTTATAACTCATTATACAAATATTAAATAAAACATATAAGTGCAATTATTTCTTTTGATATGACAACAGTATCCTTTTGGTATTTCAAAATATTATCAATTTGTTTATATATGCAGATATTTTTACTTCAGCACATAAAAAACAAAATTATTAAACATTCTTAAGTAATAAACGATGATTATAGATAATGTTTATATATTATGCAATAAAAAAAATGAGTTAATTATTTTGATATAATACCAAATAAAAATATCTTCCCACATTTTACAAATGTATATTTTATACTACTATAAATACTAAATAATTTTTAGAGCTCTGATAACGTATAAAATATATAATTATCACTTATATAGAATATTATAACATTTATCATATTTACATCTTGAATAAAAAAAAAAATTATATTCAATCGAAACTAATCTATATGCAGAATAACATGGCAACATAAATACATATTAATAGAACACGATTCTGTATACCAAGACATAAATTTTCGATGCAAGTACTTGTAAATGTAAATCTTTTCTGCTTTTTACATATTTATAGTAACTATGAGTGCAGTGAAAGATACCAAGTTACTGACTTCTGATTAAATGTCTGAGCTTACAGACATATAATCTTATTCTGTCATTACAAAAATTGCTCATTTAATTTAAATTAATACAAAATTTATATCTCAATTTATTAATATTAACTATTTCTATAACTCATGTATATATATACACACACCCACACGCGCGCGCGCGCGCACACACACACACAATTTGAGTTGCATTTGCAGAAATATACATATAATTCATGCTTTTTAATACAGTTATTACAGTAATGTTTTTAATAGATAATCTGATTTTAATTACTATGTAAATTAATATCGGTCAAACAAATGTAAGGTATTCTAAAAATGATTCTATGTATTCGTGTGAGAACTTAAAATATTAAGGCCATATCCAAATTGAGTAAACAGTTTGTTGTGTAAAATTAAAATATTATAGTTATATAAATGTGATTCTATTTTTTGTATCATTGGCCAATAACTAGATAATTTAGAAAAATTAGTATTTTAGCACTATTAATAATACATCATTTTTATAACATTTTCTAATAGGCACTACTGCTCTATTACTTTTCTTTATAATTTAGATTTCTCGATATAAAGTAAAAATACAATTAATTGCTTGTAAAGATAAAGATAATAATATAATTCATTATATTTCAATACTCTATTCTTCTAAAAGTTGAATTGCTACTAAATAAAAAAGATCATCACAAATATCACAAAGTTTTGAACGTTTATAAAAATAAACAAAAAGAAATATAATTAAATAATGTGATAGAAAATCTATGTGTAAAGTGAAAAAAATTCCTATATTGGCACGAAAGTAAGAATATACAGATACTTCTACCTTCTTCAATGTTAATTTTTATCATATTTTTGTCACAGATATATGCGGCGCGTATGCACACCGCTTTTATCGATCCTCGAAAATATTCGATGTCATGTGTACAGATTAGATTTAATGAGTTTTTAGATCAATATTTAGGGCAAATTGTGAAGAAGCACTTATTGGATTAAGAATGTAACTATCATGATTGATGCAGATAATATACATTATTCGATAAAAAACTATAAAACAGTTTTATATTTTAGTTTAGAGCACAGGTACCATATATCTAAATGGTAAACATTTCATTCAGAATTATACTCTAATCTTTTTCCATATTAACATCAAAGTGAACAATCGATATTAAATTTACTTCTTTATAATAATAGTATGATAAAAGTTAAAAATATGAAAATACTACCAAATTTTTTATTTTATGCAGCAATTATTTTTTTTTCTCAAATACAAATTAAAACCAGATCATAGATTTTCATTTTCTGACATCATCTCACAATTACCTAATAAAGACAAATTTCATACCGATTGTTTTCTTCTTAATGCGTTATATAAATTCTTTACTTTCTTATGCTATGTAATAAGTATGGCATCATATTATAATACATAGCTCAACAGAGTAATTCTCTCAGAAAACAAATATTATAAATGTAGTTGGATGAAATATATAATATTATCATCATTTGAAATTGATCAAAAGAAAAAAGAAAAATTAGCATTGAACATCTATAAATTAAAAATAAAAAGATTTTTTTATAAGACATTAAATATATCTTATTATAATGTAAAGATATTCAATTTTGTTTACAATGTTTGTTGTACGAATCTATTAATCTAATATTAATTCTATTTCATTATCACGGTACAAATAAAGAACTTTTTCTCCTTACGTTTGTGGTTGTCTATTGTCGTATTATTACTTTGTTTTTTGATAGGACTTTATAAGTAAAGCAAAGAAGAAAATGCTGAATGAAGATTAATCATTATGGTAAAGTTTAGAGAAAGAGAGAGAGAGAGAGAGATAAAGAGAGGAAGTTGTATCTATCATTAATTTAGTTATAATCAAATCTCATTCAAGTGAAAGTATTAATCCTTTATACCAAGAAAAGTTTGCATGAGAAGACAATAAAGACTAGTAAATTGCCTTTCAAATTAACTTTTAAATTTGCTATACTGATCACACTAGCGAGAATTTATTCTTTGAAACCAAGTTGTATAATATGGCTTTAAGAATAGCTTCTAAACTTAATTAGATTCTGAAGGTGCTGCAGGTAAAACATGTACTTGTTGAGCTTTACTAGCATTATAGACTTGTCCTGGACTGAATGGCTCCAGTCTCGGACCTGATGTTACTTCACCTTTACGTGTGACATCTTAAAAAACCAAAAACAGAAATGAAATTAGTATTATAGATACTATAATGAAATATGATATAAATATTGTTCACACAAAAAAGCAATATTAGGATACATAGAGTTCACACGTGTACACATTTTGTTAGAGTACTTACCTGACTTACTTTCTACTGCAGGAATATATCGAGACAATCTAACAACGGGTAAAGGTAAATAACCGCTGGTTAGAGGCATAACATCTAACGTAACGCTTTGTTTTTCTACTATTTCTAATGAAATGATTCCTGCAGTTCGGCCACAAACGGCCCACATAGTTTGATCAGCTAATACCTCATACATTAGTTGAGGTGGAGGATTAGGATTAGGAGTATACAACATACGTGTCACTGTAAGATAAAGATGACACATACTACCGGCACGGCAAAATTCTCCTCCACCTCCACCTGCTTCAACCCTTGAGGAGACTGTAAATAATGTCTGAAAAACATTATATGGGTAAATCATCATACTGATATATATATATATATATACACGTATAATTGGTTGATAGCAGAGTTATAACATTTTCTGCACTTACCACGTAATCTGTGACATCGAAGTTACATCTATATACACTAGAAGCTTTTTCTATTTTTTGCAAATGATGTATATGTAAAGGATCATCATTCAGATCAGTATTACTTGTTTCCTCGGTGTCGTTAATTGGTACATATTTTACACGAAAATCAGTCTTAATGGGTACTGTAGTTTTTTCATCTTTGCCAACTTCAACTTCCCACATAAATGATACATTCATTCCACTACCTACCACTAATCGTTGGCCAGCGGTTGGATTTAAACTTCTAAAATTTAAATCCATTGATGTATTTGATGCCAAATGAGGGTCAGATAATTGCAAAAGTCGACTTGTTAAGCCTGTAACAATTATTTGAACGAATTTTCTCTGCTTAGCAGTATGCAGTTTCATATTTGTCATTAAAGGTGGACCAAAGTGCAAAAGGATATTCTCTTCTGTACCCCATGGACATTGCACGCTAAGCTGAAAAAATAATAGCACTTGTAATGCGTATATTTCATATTAGGAAAATCTAAATCTATTAATCCTAGTAATTAATAGAAGAAGTTACTTTATGCTCCATAGAAGAAGGATCTTTTTTGGGTGGGAGCTCTGCTAAAACTTTTAATCCCAATTTTATTGTTTGAAATGGTTCACACGATGGCAGTGGCGTTTCCAATTCTTTAATCATTAATGCTTCTGCGTCATTTAATTGTATCATTAATCCTCTAGATGCACGTAATTTTAATTTCATTTCTTGTGTTATCCTAATACTTCCAGTTGATATAACTAATTCTATATCTTGTATAAGCCCAGCCAATAAATCTCTTCCACATTTTAAAGAAATTACCGGTTGGGTTTTTGCAACTTCATAGCATAATCGTGGATTTAGAATTGGAGATAGAAATTCTAACTTCTCTTCAATAACAAGCGACAATTGACCAACTTTGTAAAGTCCAGGACAATCGACCCGCCTGGTCAATGTAAATATATTTATACCTGGTTTCATAACAAATTCAGGAGACGATAACGATTTGCTAAAGTCACCTTTCATATTTATCGAAGGTTTTCTATGTTTAGCACTATCTGAACGTCGTACCATAGGTTTAATATTTTTATGCATAACACTAGCAGAACCTATACTCTTGTCTTCTTTGCAGTTCAAGTAAGAATATACTTGTAATA